AACCTCTGCTGTCATCCACGGCTTTTGGTTTGCACGTGTGGTGATGGTCTTGGTGACTGTCACATCATCAATGCACTTTTTGATGTAAGCACTCACAGTTTCAGTGTACTCCTGCAGGTCTGTCTGGTTGTTGTAGGTGGCTGCCTCTTTAAACATGTTCCAGTCTGTGCACTGAAAGCAGTCCTGTAGAGTTGAGGTAGCATCATCTGGCCAAACTGTGATGAGTTTTTGGACTGGTTTGGCGAGTTTCAGAAGTGGTCTGTATGCTGGAATTAGCATAACAGAGATGTGATCAGAGTGCCCTAGGTGGGGGCGGGGTACAGCCTTGTACGCGTTCTTTTCTGTTGTGTAAACAAAGTCCAGTGTGTTTTTTCCCCTTGTTGCAAAGTTCACAACAAGGGGGGGGGGATGTAAACTGCGACAATAACAATGGCCGTGAACTCCCGCGGCAGATAGAACGGTCGACACTTCACTTCACAAACTCCACCAGCGATGAACAGTATATATATATATATATATATATATATATCCATTACCTACTGTAAGACTATAGTACACAACAGTTACCCATATATGTAAATCCATCACTACTGGCTGCAGCTGTCTTTGGCTGTGGGACCTCAATGAGTTTCACTCGTTTTGGATAGGATGGTCCCTCATCATCAGAGTCCTCATAGGTCCTTTTACTTCCAAGGGGAACAACCATCGAGGAATCAGGCACATTTCTAGAAGGCAGGACCTCATAGTCACATCCTTAAATGGAAACAAATGTCAAGGTTAATCACTTGCATTACAGTATGTTTTAGCAGCCTGTATTATAAATACATAGACCCACAATAATCTGGGTAGTAAACTAGTGAAGGCAAAAAAATAATAAAAAAAAGATAAGGTAGGAACAATTGGGGTAACTTTTTACATTTTGTAAACAACTTTTTACATTAGTTGTCTTTTAGATAAATAAAAAATTCTGTAACAAGTCATATTAATATGATTCAGTGACAAAGGGTGCTGCACATTAAGGGTAAAAACATTTACTCAAAAAAAGAACATACATGAGAAATGAACATGCATGAAAAAATAATTCCCAATCTTTCCATAAAACAGCAAAAGTTTAATATTTAGAATAACTCAACAAAATTCAACATTTTGTAATAGTATTTCCTGCATTTAGTGACAATGCAAACAATGCTCCATGTAATAAAACATAACTGAGCCTTAGTCAAATAATTTGCATGGTGAATTGCCAGTGTAAACCAACATGTTTGTTACACATTTTAGGTATGGAAAAAAAAATGTAGCTGGAACATAAAATACAATATTTACTTGAAATGAAGAACACTGACGTGCAAAAAACAATTTTAGTATTAAAATCTCTCAGTCACAGAGCACATCCTATACAGCTGCTTGCATGTCTCTCTCAATTTATGGTCACATAACAAAAATAAAGCACTAATGTGCTAATTTAGAGGATGACACATCTTAACCCTCCCTCTCTTGTACACTTTCCCTTATACACCTGAAAACTTGATGCGTAATGGCGGATCTTTATAAGGGGTGTGTATGGAGCATCTGCCATCTTAAAACTTACACGTTTTATATGGACCCTTTTCACAAGACTGTGATGATGCATTTAACGGTCATCAACATCATAAATCCTCGAACACATACGAGTATGGTGGGTTGAATTTCCCTGATTTCTCTCCTTTGAACAACATTTTCAAAATTAATTGGATTAGACAGTTTTTGTGTAATCCAAACTCAATCTGAAATTTTATCCCCAATTACTTCTTTTCCAAATTAGGTGGTCTCCCTTTCCTATTGATCTGTAATTATAATATTGCTAGAATCCCTTACACTGCACAATTTCTCCCCTCACCGGTACTACATTTGGAACAATCAAGACATTGTATATAAGAGAAAATCTTTGTTTTTTAGTAGTTGGTTTGAGAAAAACATTTTGATTGTTTCCCAGTTATTTAACTCAGAAGGTCTTATTTTAATTTATGAAGAATTCTTATGTAAATTTAATTTTCTAGTAACTCCCAAAGAATTCTACATTGTCATGGATGCTATTCCTAAAGGAACTGTTATGCTTTTAAGGATCATCCAGCACTTTATCTATTTCTTTAGACCCATTGAAATCCCACTAGGAAAACTGCTTTTTGTCATATCCTTCATCACGTAACTATAAGATCAGATCGCTTTTTCAAAAGGAGCTTGTAACAACTCCATATGTGATGTCTTACTGGAAGAATGTGGTTGATTATATTGATTGGGAAAAAAGTATGGACTCTGTCTTCGAAATACATAATAACTGACAAGGTTAGAGAAATCTCATTCAAATTGTTACACAGATTTTACCCAGCTAAAGTGTTTTTGAAAAGGTTTAAATCAGACATAGATACAAGCTGTTCTTTATGCATATCTTTTGGGACTGTCCTCACACACAGCTATTTTGGATTGAATTCTCTAATGTTATCAGTCGCATTGTACTCCAGGGTTTCTCTCTGCTTTTTAAGGATGTATTGTTTGGCTTCTTTAATATACATAAAGATCAAATGAATGAATATTTTATTATTAACCTATTATTACTTCTTGCAAAATTTCGTATTCACCACAGTAAATTCACCAATCCTTTCAACAGTATATCCAAACTATTTAATCTTCCAAGAATCTTAAGGCTTTTAAAACGGTTAATTTATTTAATCCTTTTAATTTATTTTTTATTTATTGTTACATACGTCTATAAATGGCGCTTTGCATGTAATGTCACCTCTTTGTACATAATGTTGATATTCTCTGTACTTTTATCTTTGGTACCATGGCATTAAAAAAAAAAATCCTCGAAAGTTTTTCATATTTGTATTTTTTTTTTTTTTATGTATCTACATTTATAAAACTATTCTTTGTATTATATCACCTTTGCATCAAATTAAAAACAAACAAAAAACAGTTAACGCTAATACCAGGGTGTTTCTAATGCGGCGTCTATGGGAGGGACGGTAAATTTGACATCGTTCTCTCTTCTGACAGCCGTTATCAGTCCCTCTCAATTTTTTCCCTTTTATTGAAAGTCGTGAAAACACTATCGTGGAATTTTTGTTTTGCTATTTGAGCAAATGGGAACGCAAAAAATATATCTGTGGTACTCTCCCATTCACTGCTCTTCAAACGACTTCCGCTGCTGAGAAACCCGGAAATGTGAAAAAGGTCCATTACCCTTTGGTCTCCCAAAGGATGGTGCTGCTGACTGGCTCCTCACAAAAGCCCAAGCATCCTGTTCAGAAGCGAACTTCTTAAAAATCGCTGAGGGAAACTTATCCACCTGATGTTTACAATCCTCCCTTTAGTGGAGAAATACAACGTAGTTAAGCAATGCAATGCGCTCACCATTACAAATCAACGGTATCATAGTTGCTCACCATGTTTGATATACTCCTGGTCTAAATCCTTTCCTCACAGCGTAGAAAAAGTTTCCTTTCTTGCCCATCTCTTCTGCGGCGTCGCAGAGAGCCCTGCGTACAAGATTGAAAAACCCAGGCAGTCTCAACATAGTCTCTGCTTAGAGCGGAGTAAACACGGCAATATCCTTTAGTGGAGGCATTTTAAAAGACAATGACCATAAACAATAACCTGACAAAGACGAAATCTTTCACAAAATATTTATGGATTTAGTGATTTTGTCTGTCGTTTTGCAAAACCTCCGCAACGTGTACCTACGTTACCGGTCAGCTGACCAAACGCGTTCTTCTTATCGGCTTTTTTAGTCCAGTTTATAGAGCGTTACCGCCACCAACTGAAGTGGAGAGGTGGCGGTAAAGCTGGTTTACCAACCGCCAAAAACGCTTAAGAAGAAGAAGAAGAACTGAAGGGGAGTGTTGGAGGAAGTTAAGCCTACTAGGGTAGTCATTTGTACAGATTCCTTGTCAGCTTTAAATAGTTTAATAAGTGAACAATCAACATCAAGAAAGGATTTAATCTATGGAGGCGGGAGGCAACCCTGAGAGTATAAAATAATAATAATTATAATAAAATGCAAGCATTGAGTCACAGTGCCTCGATCACATTTAAACCACGAACGTACTGCACGACGTAGTCCGAACACCGAAGAAATTACTCGTATGAACCGGGTATTTTTAGTAAGTCAAACAACAAATAAACAAACAAATACAGCCCGCTTTGCGAACGAATGACTCGTTTGAGCATCGAATCTTTGTAGTGTACGTTTTTCAGTGATTCCCAAAAATAATAATGGAGGTAGTCGTGCCATTTTTTTGTAAAGATAAATTGTTCCATCACACCACAACTCTTCGACTGGTAACGTTAAAACATCTTAATATGATTTTAAACTTCTTCATAGATAGCAAGTCAGTATTTTCAGGCCAAACGAACTTATTTTAATGACTGTCCTATTTTTATAATGTATATGTGAATTAATAATAATACAAAAAAAGTAATGCTTGTATTCCTTTACACAACATATAAGTAAGAGCGGGCGTAGGGCGCCCTCTGCGCCTGGGATGGAGATTACATTTCCCATCATGCAACATATCAACGCACTTTTACCGGTCTCTCGCGAGAATACGGCCTCTTCCCAGGCCGTCGTTGAAAGAGGTGAGACTACTGAATTTGCCATGCTAAAGAGAAATTAAGTTAAAATGTCTAAAATAAGTCATATTTGGCACTACGTACGAGTTGCCTTGTTGTTTAGACAGAGATGCGTTAGATGCGAGTGCATTACACAATGGATGGTTATTTTAGAAATGGGAATTTGTATATTTAAGGTGTGCTAGTAGACGTGTCAGTACTACAGTATAACGGGCCCATGTGCTGCTCTAAGATAGTGTAAGATGCTTGTATTAAGTAAACTATATCTCGATGACCTATATTTGCGGTAGAATTAAATCTGTAATGTAAATGTTCTTTACTAGCTAGTCAATGTTAACGGCATGCTAAGAACATGCTTAAGAGTTAGCCGCAATAGACTGCTTAACGATAACTGGTGAATTCCCGAGAACAGCTGAAGTTAGGATAATGAAATCAGATATCGAGACTTTAATTAATTCCCGAGTTATATAATTATCTCTGATACTGGTAGTATAGGTTCTAGTGTTTAATGTCACCTTGCTCACCTGAGCAGTCTTCATTTACTCACCCTCACGTTCTAAACCTTGCTGACTTGCGTCTGCAGACCACAAAAGATGATGTTACGACTTGACGCCGTTACATTCACTTTCATTGCATCTTTTTTTCCTCCATAAATTGAAACTGAAAGGTTGTTAGTTGCCATCATTCGTTTGTGTATAACGAGGGTGTATGTTTAAGTTTGGAACAACATGGGAGTTTAGTAATTTGCAGTTTTCACTTTTGAGTGGGCCGTTTCTATTGTATAGTCTTTTATTCTAATAAGCCTGTTTGTGCCTTTCAGACACGGGCCATGTTCAGTACCAGCGCGAAAATAGTGAAGCCGAATGGAGAAAAGCCAGACGAGTTTGAGTCTGGCATTTCCCAGGTATAGTATACCATCATATCTTTATGAAATGTGATCCTGCATCTGTAGCCTTTATTGATAAGCTGTTGTCTGTTTGATGCAGGCCCTTCTTGAGCTGGAGATGAACTCCGATTTGAAGGCTCAGTTGAGGGAGCTTCACATCACTGCTGCTAAGGTAAAAGCCCCCGCTGGTTCATTTATTTTGGATGAGTGCAGTCACATCATTAACTCAATTATAACAGCATCAGAATAAGTAGCTGTTTGTACTGATTGACAACCAACGTGGACATCCTGTGAGATGGCTCTCATGTGGCTCTGTCCGTGTGGCGTAAGGGAGCGCAGCACTTCGGTGCCATGACGTACAGTCCCGTTCCACGACGTTGGATAGCAAGCTGGTCCCCGGCCTGTGGCTGGTGTGGACAGCGTCCTGTATATTCCTACATCTTCCCAGAGTCCTTTGGGCCGTTACTGGGGAGGTAAACCATGCAGTACACATGTCCTTAACTGTACTGGCCCTTGCTGAGTGCTAGGTTAAGTCATTCCTATATTTATGTGCTTGTAATTTATGCTATTGATTCTCTTTCTATCTCAGGAAATTGAGGTTGGTGGTAGCAGGAAAGCCATCATCATCTTTGTGCCTGTGCCCCAGCTGAAGTCCTTCCAGAAGATCCAGGTGAGGCTTGTGCGTGAGCTGGAGAAGAAATTCAGCGGCAAGCACGTGGTGTTCATCGCACAGGTAAGACTTGTCCTTTCTGAGCATGTTAAGTTTTCTTTTAAGGGGTCATATGATGCTGCTAAAAAGAACATTATTTTGTGTATTTGGTGTAATGAAATGTTTATGCGGTTTAAGGTTAAAAAAACACATTATTTTCCACATTGTTTCTCCTCTATGCCCCGCCTTTCTGAAACCCGTTGATTTTTACAAAGCTCATTGGTCTGAAAAGCGAGGTGTATGCTGATTGGCCAGCTATCCAGTGCATTGTGATTGGCCGAATACTTTAAGCATGTGACTGAAATGTTATGCCCCTTACCAAACTGTGATGCCCCGTGTCCTGGCGCGACGAGACAAAAACAGTAAAACCCGTTACAAACGAGGCATTTGTTGCATCCAGTGGGGACATAATTACTGATTATAATGACTAATACTGTCTGACGACCCCGGGCTGGACCCGGGCCTTCACAACATGGTGGCAACAACAATACTACAGCGAGAATAAAAGTTATGCCGCCTTTGCGTGAACATTTGGGTGGCGTTATGCAAATCTTCCCACATAGTGAGGTAGATATGTGGGGGCGTGTTAGAACGAGCCGTTTTAGGTAGGCGTGGTTGACTCTTAACATTTACATTTAGTCATTTAGCAGACGCTTTTATCCAAAGCGACTTACAATTGGGGGATACATAAAGCGATTCTTCTTAAAGAGGCAAACAGACACAAGAAGTGGTTGTAATACCAAGTTCTTAGACATTGTTCAAATAAGTACAAGCTAGAAAGAGAAGGAATAAATAAAGAGAGAGATTTAAAAAAAAAAAATTTTTTTTTTATGATGAAGTCAAGTAGCTTCGAAAGAGATGTCGCTTGAAAATTGTCAGGGATTCAGCATTCCGGATAGGGGTGGGAAGATCGTTCCACCAGCCAGGAGTGGTGAACGAGAATGTTCTGGAAAGTGATTTTGAGCCTCTCTGTGATGGTACCACGAGACGTCGCTCACTAGCGGATCTCAGACTTCTGAAGGGGATGTAAATTCGTAGTAGTGAGTGGAAGTAGGCGGGTGCTGAGCCTGTGGCTGTTCTATATGCAAGCATCAATGTCTTGAACTTGATTCGGGCCGCAACCGGTAGCCAGTGCAAGGAGATAAAGAGAGGTGTAACATGGGCTCGTTGAAGACCAGTCATGCCGCTGCATTCTGAATCATTTGTAGAGGTTTGATTGTGCTTGATGGAATATAAATTAACTTTTATAAAGAATATCTCTTTGGATTTGAGACTTTAGTGTTTGCAACTTTACAGATCTTCTTTATGCACCAAGAGCTTGTAACACTCCAAAGAGAAAGGAAAAAATCATATGACCCCTTTAAAGGGATAGTTCACTTTCAGTTGCTGGTCCCCATTGACTTCCATAGTATGGGGGGGGAAAAAACACTATGCAAGTCGTCTGTGAGTGTGTTCCAACACTTTGAGTCATACACTTATTGCAGGCATGAGCCATTTCAAAATTTAGATTGTCCAATCAAATTAAAACTAAGATGGCGCCGCAGATGGCCACCTCAGTGTTTGGCTCTTATAGTACAACTGTACATATAATTTTTATTTTTTCAATGTATTTTTTTTCTATTTTTGTCTTTATATTTACATGCGTGTGTTTTTTATTTTTTTTATTCTCATCTTATTTTTGTCTGTGTTGTTGTTGTTGTCTCTGTGTACTGGAAGCTTGTGACACTAAAACAAGTTCCTTGTATGCGCAAGCATACTTGTCAATAGAGCTCTTTCTGATTCTGAAATGCTCTCTAGGTCAAATTAAGTCTAATCATATTTCATTGGTATGCACTTTTTTTAATCCAGAGACCTTTGGATTGGACAACTTAAATTTTTGAACTGTGTATACCGGAGATATTTAGCACTGAATAGGATATTTAAGTTTCTGAATTGTGCACACCTCCAAAATTTGACTTAACTATTTGAAAAGTCAAATGGTACAATCACATTTTGCAGAAATGCACAATTAAAATTGAATTTGTCCAATAAAATGCTTTTTTTAGATTTTAAAATGTCCCACTCTATCTGCAATTTAACTAGCATTTACTGCCTATTGGGCTTTTTTTATTTTTTTTTGGTCCAGCTGAACATCCTGTTTAGGATCATGTTTGCACTAGGGTTGGGTGGTATGACGGTGTATATATAGTTACCACGGTATAAAATGTTAAACATAACTTTTTTTTTTTGGTTAAAATTTTTTTTTTTTTTAATGTATACCATGTATACCGTGACATGTAAATAAGTGGGCATGGTTAACTTGGGTGCAGTGCATGAGACTGACGCTGCCATTTGTCAAAGAAACATGGGGGGGAAACTAATGAACAGATCAGGAGGATCCTCAAAAGATTCGATTTTCTAAAGGGTTGTTAATAACGTGATCTTATCAGAACAAAGGTACAGCAGTTAACTGTGAGAGCATTGCAGCGCCCGTACAGTTTAGAGGCGTGCACAGGCTCGCAACAGAGGAAGCATTATAAATGGCCATGGTAATAAACAACCTGCTTGTTAAAGCAAATGAACATAATCCTGTATCTGAGGCAAAATAACTAAATATTGAGAAGGCAACAGCATGTATTATATATATATTTTTTT